ATGCTTGTGAGAGTGATTTATACTCAATAGCTTGGGAAAAATGGCTCAAGGGGGGAGACCGCGTAAACAAATTTTTTTAATGGGGAAAGTTAATTTAGGGTTTAAAAAAATATTTTGAAAGAATATCATTCTTTTCCCAAAACATAAAACTTTTCCCCTAAGGATACAAAAAATTTATCATTCTCAAATTTTTAGATGCGATCTGTACCGAAAAGAATAAAGGGGTTTTAAGAAACGTTTTCTTCCGCCCTGAAAGTAAAAAGAAAACAAAACACTAGAGAATTCCCCGCCCTGTGCAAAAACAAACCTGGGTTGTGCTCACCCAAAAAAAACTCTTTTTTTGTATTCATGTTAACTAGAAAAAAAAATATAACAGGGGGAGTTTTTTCCCCCTTTTTTCAAAATTTAAAAACATTATTTTTCAAAATTTTAAAAGACACGAGTAGTAAATTTATTTCTAGGTTTGCAAACTTTAAAAAGATATAACCTTTTATTTGTACGTCTCAAATTATGGTATGATATGTTGAAAAAAGGGGAAGTAATAAAGTATTTGCAGGGGACAGTGCTGTTTCTAAATTGACGAATCTTCTTGTGTGAAGATTTAAGAAACTATGCCACCAAGTGGAAAAAGCCCCCTTTTACCCTCGCCTCCCGAATAAAAACTAGAAAATTAGATTTTTCATTTATTTTCCCAAAACAATGGGCCCCGTATTTATTTGTTTTAAAGGATGGACTTGGGTTTTTTATCCCGGTTGAAAAAGGGTTTGTGAAACTTTGCTCGCAAATAAATTATTATACATATATTCCCATTTAATTTTAAGAGTAAAGGATATTTTCTTTAACAAAAACGATTTCCCCAGACGTTAGAAAAAGAAAAAGGATATTTTTATTCAAAAAAAAGAAAAAGTTTCTTCGTCGTTTCGCAAAATCTATCTGTGGGAAATTAAAAATCGTCCCGGTCTGGCAAAAATCGATGTTAATCGATTCGCCATGAAAAAGTGCCTGTTTTTAACCGAGAGTTTGGAAAAAATCTTTGCAGCTAGGGAATATCAAAAACGTGTCGTTTTGGGGACACAACCGAGGGTGAAACATTTAAGGGGAAATTTCTAAGCTGAAGTTTAAACCCGTCTCTAAAAACATGTTTTAAAAGAAAACACGTGGGCCCGGTTTTGTGGGGTTTTGGTGGGGTTTTTTAAAAAATTTTTTTGTTTTTTGTTTTTTTTTCTTTTTTTTTGCTTTTTATTTGTTTTTGGTGTGGGGGGTTTTTTTGGTTTGGGTTTTTTTTGGTTTTGGGGTTTTTTGTTGTTCTTCCGTTTGGCGTTTTTTTTTTGTGGGGGATTTTTTTTTTTTGGGGTTTTTTAAACGGTATTTTCTTTTTTTTTTGCTGTTGGGGGTTTTGTTCTTGTTTTATTTTTTTAAAGTGGTTTGGTTTTTCTTTTTTTTTGGGGGGGTTTTGGTTCGTTGTTTGGGGTTTGTTTGTGCCTTTTTTATTGTTTTTTCGTGGGGGTTTTAGGTTTTGTTTTTAATGTTTTGGGGGTTGTTTGGTTTTTAAAAAAATTTTTTCTTTTGTTTTGAATTTTCGTTGTGTTTGGGTTTTTTTGCGGGGGTTTTTGTTGGTGTTTTAGGTTTTTAAAATGGAAAGACACGTGTCCACGCACGACAACACCAATGCTGCATTAATGAGTGCAGGTATTGACGCTGTACGGACCTTTTAACTGGAGCAGGAGAATGTTTTACCAGAACTGTACCTCGTGTCTGACCTGAAGCTTAAGTACAATGACTATGTGACGTCTAATTTATCTGAGAACGCTGCAAACTCCAGCAATGTTTAATCTGATCACATCAGTTTTCAGAAAGACAATGTCGGTAAGACGAGTTTGTATCTAATCTTGCCGCAACAATAGATTCGGATAGAGATGATAACACTTTAACAAAGACAGCACTCATAACGGAGATTAGAAAAGAAATCTTTCAATGTAGAAACGAATTCTATCAGTTATCGTTCCGTAAGACGATTTATCTTCAAAAACATGTCCGATTTACCGATCGGTGGCATCTGTAGAAATGTAGTGTTTATGTGGATTAATCTGTTAAAGCAGGGCTATTGTATCATTTTAACATTAACTTTGCATAGTGATGATACGTTTATTGTGTCTCTTGTGATTATATATTTTCTACAGTGTTACGGTACCACGAGGTTTCTGGCGCAGTGACGCGCTTTTGAGCAAATATCGTGCTAGATACGTCACGCGCCGCAACCGAATCAGATTTAAGTGCACTTTTTTCATTGTAAACACTACATACGACGCGCAACACGTTCTACGTGGTCGAAATTTTCGAGGTCTCTAACACCGGAATGGAGCAATATTTAGACGATCTGACACTTTCTGGGGCTTAAGCAACCTAAGAGAAATTAGGGGAACAACTCAGAAAAAATTTTTAGTCGATATTCCGGTGTCTGTAGACGTCCGAAGTTTTGGCAGTAAAGTGCTCACAACACAGCTTCTGAAGGCTCTAGAAGGTTCCCGATACCGTCAGAGTGTTCAGTACACTCCATTCTATCACATAAGAACCCTAAAAGAAGTCCCAGGGCTCGAGCAAAAAAGCGTGATATTTGCCCGTAACAGCCTCTACGGAGACAAGTGTACTTATACAGGTTGTGAACAGTTAACAATTTCTGATTCTTAAACAAGGGCTTAGAGTGTTCTTTTTTGTAAAAGTCCACACCTAATCTTTGCTCACCAAATGGTCGTGTCAAAGGAAAGAAGATGGAAAACAAACATTTGGCCATTGTTAATGATCTGGCCCGGCGCGCGCTACTTCGTAGCACTTGCCATCGATGTTATATATATATATATATACACACAAACACACTAGTACCGAACAATTGCACTGTAAAACATGCTCACGATACACTCAAAATTGGAAATATTCAACGGCTCGTATATGAAACTTAGCGACTTACACTCAGTGTACACCCAGTGTTAACCAGTATTACACACTAGTAAATTCTACGTAACGCGCGAAAACAATAATTCTGTAGCGTTTTCATTGTCACATCTCACGTCGACGGGATTAAACGCGCGCGCGCGTAACAACTTATCTTACTGCTAACTCAGCGATTGTAGCGCGATGCACTACTGGGTCGCGCGCGCATCAAATAATGCTTCTCGCAACCAACTTCGGTAGATCGGCGAGATGCACCACTGTGCCTCACCGAGCTGCGAAGGATTGACATCGTGAATCAAACTCAGCGACTAAACACACAACGACTTTGACTATTGACAGATGATTAAACAATTGTGAGTTATGACGGACTTAACTGTATGGGTCAACTACTGAAACTGTATTGTTTACTATCTTATTCATTATACTGGACATGAGATGACGAAGTATCTTAAGCAGCACTTTATACCCCCACTTAGAACTTGATTAGTCACGAACAATAGAATCATCAAAAACCAATATAATACAATAAAACATCTTGATCAATAAATGCCTAGCAGCACCAGACAGCAGCCCTGTACCTTTTTCGACTCCGTGGAGTCCCTGATGGACTTTTGTTCACTTTTGTTAATAATCGGACCAACCTTTCTTTCTCGAAACATGTATCCTATTATATTTCATTATAGTATTAAGATGTGAAGATATACTAGATATTACAACGAAATAGAGGTATACCAAATTGGCACTTGATATTAACTATAACCGTGTTGATGGTTTTAAATTTCGTATGTTGTAAGTATCTTAGTTTGTGAAGCGTTTACTCCTCCCCCTCAGCAAGACAGTTAGATTGCATTGTAGATTAATGATAATAATTGTCAAATGACGTTATATATATTATATAACAGTTATAAATGTTCAATAGTTGTAGAGCGATTTCAAGAGTAGTCTAGTGGTCCACAGCACATAGGGGTCCGAAAAAGCCGTACAGGCACTTGGGTCCTTATCCTTGTCACTAATCTCAATTGGATTCGGTTTACACAAAACATGAACATTTAGACGTACACATTGACACGATATTTATTAGAAAGCAAAAAGTATAAAATAATACGTGCGTGCGCGGCTTGAGCTGCGCCGCATAAGAACGGATGCGTGCAGGGGCTGGAGTACGCTTGTATGTAGATTAATGAAATGTTGCATTGTAAATATTGAGAATTGACGATATATTATGATCTAATAGTAAATTTTACAAACAACAAAGCTGGCTTTGGATTTAGGTAAGATTATAATTTGTGGTTAAGGGGTTTTCCAAAACTCCAGGGGCTCGTGAAGTGTCTTACACAACCTCTCCGAGCCCAAGATCCGTAGTGCGTGGTGAAGAGCCACACCCTTCTCGAGGTGCCACTGTTAAGCTTAGTAGCCTGTTCTGGGTGATTCCAGTTAAAACAGGTGAACGGTAACAGAACACTGCGGCTCTAGACCAGTACAGGTCGAAAAATATAACCGGGACATCTGTCTCGTTAGGACTGCATGCGGTTCATCGGGTGCGAAGGGCCAGCATCCCTTCCACCTCAAATAACAACGCTACAGAAACAACAAGGAAAAACCGTGATAGGAGTGATTCTCGGAATGCAAGGAACGGTGATTCCAGTATGAAGCGGTCTGGGCAAAGCCGCAAGGACCCCAGGACGCAGATGAGAACAAAGAGGTCACCTTATTGCCACAGTGTTATTAGTTCACACATCACCAACGTGAACCCCGAAAAAGGGAGATCATCCCCTTCCAATTTTATAAAAAACAGACTTAACTTGGGGACGTGGAATGTTCTGTCTCTGGAAAGCAGCACATCGAAGCTTTATGAATTGTCACAGAATGTTTCTAAGTACAAGTTGGATGTTCTGGGTCTTACGGAAACACATAGACCAGGTACTGGTGAGGAAATGCTGGATAATGGGTCATTGTTCATTTATTCAGGGAGATCGGATGGGCATAGGAGGCAGGGTGTTGGGTTGGTTTTGTCAAAAACCGTCAAGAATTCGCTTATCTCTTACACCCCTATGTCGGAGCGTATCCTAGCAGCTAGGCTACATAGTCGGCACATCAATATTTCTGTTGTGGTGGCCTATGCTCCTACGGAGGATGCGCAGGATAGCGTTAAGGACGATTTTTATCAGCAGTTGGGTGGATCATTCGACAGCCTACCCAGTCACGACGTAAAGATTCTTCTTGGTGACTTCAACGCCAAGATTGGTCGCGACAACTCATCTTGGTCTGGGGTAATTGGAGGAGAGTCCTTACATGAGACGTCAAGTAATAACGGACTTCGGCTGTTGGATTTCTGTGCCATGTATCAGATGACAGTTGGGGGAACATTGTTTCAACACAAGGACATCCATAAAGGCACCTGGAGGTCTCCCAATGGCCGTACTGTCAATCAGATAGATCATGTTTGTATCTCTACCAAGTGGAGTCACTCTCTTCTTGATGTTCGAACTTATAGAGGTGCAGACATAGGCTCTGATCACTACTTGGTCAAGAGTCCTATGAGGATCAAACTGATGGGAATCAAAAAGATACAAGGGTCACATAGAAAAGCACCAGCTATCGAGCTTCTGCGTGACCAATCTAAGGTGCAGGAGTATTGCATCGCACTGCATAACCGATTCAGTGGTCTGCCGGTGGAAGAGAGTCTGGATGGAGAGTGGGAGTTGGTCAAGGAGGGCATCAGGGAGGTTTCTTTGGAGGTTTTGGGTCAACGCCCGCGCCGGAGGAAGAAGCAGCACTTGTCACAAGAGACAAAGGATCTCATCACGGAGCGGAGTAAGGTCAAGCAGAAATGCCCAAGTGATGGATTCAATAGATCTGAGTATTCTCTTGCTAATAAGCGTGTTAAGAAGAGCTGCAAGAAGGACGATGAGAACTGGGCTTTACGGGTTGCAGCCGATCTGGAAACAGCTTCTTCACACGGTCAGCAGAGGGAGGTCTGGCAGATGATCAAGTCCTTGTCAGGCAAGAAAAGTCGGAAGTCAACTGCTGTCAGAGATAAAACCGAGAAGTTGATTTCTGACCCCGCTGCTCAACGAAAACGATGGGGTGAGCACTTCGCTGAACTACTAAACCCGCAGACAGGAGACGTGGACCTTTCAGACCTAGACAGTCTAGAGGTCGCACCATGTTTTCCGTATCTGAGTGATAGTGATATACCCCCTAGCAGAACAGAGATCTCTGAGGCTTTAAAGAGTCTGAAGAATCACAAGAGCCCTGGAATTGATGAAATTTCCAACGAACAGCTGAAGTATGGGGCTCCTGGTCTTTTAGACAGGCTTGAGAAACTGTTTGCACGTGTATGGGAGACAGAGAATGTGCCAGAGGATTGGGTTAAGGGTATCATTGTTATTGTCCCGAAAAAGGGTGATTTGAAATAAATTTTCGTGCACATACAGAATGATTGGTTAATAATTTAATATATATGTAGACCAAGGTCTGTGCACGGGATGCTTCCTGGAAGAATCCAGTTCTTTTAGCGGGGCACCCTACCTAAAGCCAAATTGAGATATAATAATCATATTCCTAGAGAAATAATCAGAAATCGAATACCAATCAAATAATATGATATATAGGAGTAGTAACCATTTTTACTATGCAAAATGCCCCAACCACATAGTGTAAATTTATATAGAATTCAAATTCCATATCATCATTAAACCTCAATAGTCAATATAATAGCCCAAGCAAAATTAAATAACTTCTTATATACCTTACTGTCATACTACAAATTAATTAAACATTTGAAATCTGTTAACCAGAGAATAAATTTCTAAACCTAATGCAAGTGAAATAATTTAGATGCAATAATGAATGCCTAATGTGAGTATCATCTGTCAATGTCCTTGTAAAAAAGTCTGTAAAAGAGATATGAGTAACTAATATAGAAGAAAAAACAGGAAGTTGTCGTCTGTTGAAAAATAAATAAAATATCTAGAATATAAATTAGAATATAAAATAACATTCAGTCAATGTGTCGTTAATAAACTGTACAATTATCAAATGTTAAAACTGGGTGATACAGTCACCAAAAATAAATACTAAGTATAATAAGTAAATAAATTAAATGTGGTCTATAAAACTACCACTAGGTATAATATGTTACTGTCTCACTTTATTGAATTAAAAGTGATAGCAGGAAATGTCGGAAAATCAAGTGAACAGTAGTGGACCACCTATCCCTAAGTTAGGAGATTCTTATCTTTTGTTCAAGAAAGAAGTGAAATTGTGGTCGGCAACCACATTGATCGAAGAAAAGCGTCAAGCAGGATGTATTGTTTTTATGTTACCTCAGAAGGCTAAGTCTGAGGCAGTGGAAGTTCCACTTGAAGTATTACAAAATGGCAGAACAGACACAGTAGAAGGTGCTGAAGTAAAGACATCGGGATTAGACTGCCTCCTGGAGGTCCTTGATGGAATTTATCTTGAAGATTTGGCTAAGGAAAAGTTCAAGACTTATGACATGTTCAGAAAGTTAAGTCGGGAAGGAAGCCAAGATGTCAAGGAGTTTATTTCGTCATTCGAAAAAGTTGTAAAACGAATGGAAGAGCATGATATTAAGCTTCCACAACCTGTTCTAGCGTATGAATTACTTAGAAGTTGTAATGTTAGTGATTACAAGTATTCTGTTGCCATTACTATGTGTGGCGACTTAACATACACTAACATGAAAGAAACGATAAAGAAGATCACAACTATGAAAGATCCAGAAAGTTCACACCAGAGAATGATTGGTGTAGTTAAAGAAGACTCTACATTTTATACTGATAACTCCTGTATTGAAAATCAGTTTAATATGTATGATGAATACGAAAATGAAAATGAAGTACTGAATGCTCAGGAAATGGAGCAGCATGCATATTACAGCCAAGGAAGAAGTGGCTATTCGGGAAGAGGATACCGGGGATATGGCTTTAGAAGAGGAAATGGTAGAGGAGCCAGAGGATACCGACAACAGAATCAACAGCAGGATAGTCAACATCAGGTAGCTGCGGGTGTCAGAAGTGACAGAAAAATGAACCCAACAGACAAATATGGGCGGCATTTTACTTGTAATGTTTGCAAGTCGATTTACCACTTTTCTAGAGATTGTCCAGAACGCCGCAGAATAAACAAAAGTGGAAATCAGGTAACGAGTGAGAATGTAAATCTCTTTATGAATGCTCCTGCCCAAGAAGAGAACTCAAATGTTATGGACCAATTTACCAGTGACAACTTTGGGTTAGCAGTTCTTGACAGTGGATGCAACAAAACGGTTTGTGGAAAGGAATGGTTGAAAGTCTATCTTCAGTCGCTGTCTCCAGAAGATTTCATTAAGGTGTGCTATGAAGAGAAACATGTATCGTTTAAATTTGGAGATAATGCACCATCAAAGTCAAGGACATGCTGCACATTCCCAGCCGTTGTATGTGACAAACAGGTGAACATTGTGGCACAAGTTGTTGATGATCAGATTCCATTACTGATTAGCAAACAGTCAATGAAAGATGCTAGAATGGTATTGGACTTTGGAGATGACACAGTGAAGGCTTTTGGTGTAAAGCAGAAAATCATCTTCAATGAATCAGGACACTGTAGCATCCCTCTGAGCAAGAATACTATCCATCAACAAGTCTGCTTATGTAAATCAGGAGAGGAAATTGTAAACCTGACCATGGAAAGTACTGACAAAAGAAAGATAGCGATTAAGCTACATAAGCAATTCGCCCATCCCCCACCTGAAAAGTTAAAGTCACTCTTAAGAACAGCAGGACAGCTTACCAAGGAAATTGCTCGAGAGATTGACACAGTATCGTCTAACTGTGATGTGTGCAAGAGATACAAGCGACCGAATAATCGTCCAGTAGTCTGTATGCCTTTAGCCAAAGACTTCAATGATACCGTTGCCATGGATATTAAGGTGTACGACAAGAATAAAAACATTTACATCCAGCACATGATTGACCATAAAACCAGATTCTCTGCTGCAAAAGTTATCAGGTCAAAAGACAAGGAAACCATTGTGGAAAGTGTCTTTACACACTGGATCAACACTTTTGGACCACCGAAGAAGTTCATGAGTGACAATGGAGGGGAATATGTTAACAAAAGTTTTGTTGACCTCTGTGAGAAATTCAACGTTCATATCATCACTACTGGAGCTGAAGCACCTTGGAGCAATGCCCTTGTAGAACGGCACCATGCCCTTTTGTCTAACAGTATGATAAAGATCATGGAAGATACTAAATGCTCAGTTGAAGTTGCTTTAGCATGGGCCTGTCATGCCAAGAACACTTTGGCAAATGTAAATGGTTTCTCGCCATATCAGTTAATCTTTGGCAAAAATCCATCTCTCACTTCTATTGATGATCCCTATGCTAGTCCAACGATTGTTGAAGATGAGAGTCCAAGTGAAACTGTTGCCAAGAACATCTCTGCCATCTACAGTGCTCGAAAAAGAATGATGGAAAGCGAAGCTAGTGAGATGATCAGACGAGCCATTAGATCAAAAACTAGAGAAGTGTACACTGATGAGATACAGTCGGGTGATATGGTATACTACAAAAGAAATGATGATAAGCGATGGCGAGGACCAGGAACAGTTATAGGTGTGGACAAGAAAGTTGTAGTTGTAAGACATGGTGGGTATATTGTTCGATGCCACCGGATTCATGTTGTCAATGTAAATGAACTGTACTCAAAAGATGTTTCCGAAGTAAGTGGGACTGATCCACCAGATGAGCCTAATCACACTGTTGAAGAATTTTACAATGCAACTCAAATGCTGAAAAATGATGTTCTGTTGAACGCTTTCGATATTGCTCCTGCTGAAGAGGATGATAATAATACTGTAAGCACAGATAATATACCACAAAGCAACGAAACTAATGTAGAGGAATCAATGTCTACAAAGGAGCAGAAGTTCTGCAAAGCTAAGTCAAAGTATGAGAAGAAGAAGGTCAGTATCGAAGTGTTAAACACTGACCCCTATAAGTCACAGAAGACTGACGAAATCGAAAAATGGAAGCAAAACAATGTGTATGAAGAGGTTGAGGCTCACGAAGTAGATGATCAGTTTGTCCCCATTTCGACAAGGTGGGTCACAAATGACAATGGTCATAAGAAAAAGGCCCGTTTGGTAGCTCGAGGTTTTGAGGAAATTCCTCTTGATAGTACCGAAAGAGTCAGTCCTACTTGTCGAAAAGAATCTCTAAGACTTCTATTCACAGTAGCAGCATCAATGAAGTGGCCTATTCATTCTCTTGATATAACCTCAGCATTTCTACAAGGTAAACCAATTGAGCGACTAGTTTATCTTACCCCTCCAAAGGAATGCTATAAACCAGGAATACTGTGGAAGCTGAACAAATGTGTTTATGGACTGTCAGATGCTGCAAAGATGTGGTACAAAAATGTAAAAGACCACAGTGAACAAGCTGGTTTAAAGAAATGTTTATATGATGATGCTCTGTTCTTTTCAAGAGTTGACAAAGAAGATCTTGCAGGAATAATGACTGTACATGTAGATGACTTCATCTATGCAGGGACCAAAGGTTTTGAGTCTAATATTCACAAAGATGTGCTGCATGGATTTGAGATTAAGTCACAGGAAGCATCGCGATTCACATATCTTGGACTTGAGGTGGAACAAGATCCAATCTCATATGAAATCACTGTTGGACAGTCAGATTATATCAGTGCTTTAAAGACCATAGGACTATCAAGTAACAGAAGAAGCCAGAAAACACATGCTCTGACTCACGAAGAGTATGTACAGTACAGATCAGGTGTTGGACAACTTATCTGGTTATCTGTCCAAACCAGACCAGATATTTCGTTTGATGCTTGTCAGTTGAGCAATAATCTGAAAGATCCCAACGTCTCAGACATAATGCTTCACAACAAGATAGTCAAAAAGCTTAAAACTGATGAAGATGCCCCACTGACCTTCAGAGAACTGCCTAACATAAACAATGGAGTAAGACTACTTACATACAGTGATGCATCGTTTGGAAATCTTAGTAACAATGGTAGTCAGTGTGGGTATCTGATACTTATTTCGGATAAAGATGGTAGAGTCAAAAACCCTGTCTGTTGGAAATCTGTAAAGTTGGACAGAGTCTGTTACAGTACTTTAGCCGCTGAAAGCCTTGCACTCCTGAAAGCGGCTGATCACACCATTTTTATTCAGCAAACACTACAACAAATACTGGGAGATTCTTTAAATGTGACCATAGACTGTTTTATTGACAATAAAGGACTTCTAGAGCTTGTACAGAAGACAAAGGACCCCATTGAAAAAAGACTGATAGTTACCATGGCATCACTAAGGGAAATGGTTGAGAAGGGTGAAATAACTGTTAACTTTATGCCCTCAAGGACGATGCCTGCTGATGTTTTG